GATGGGCGTGCGGGGCTGCAACGTCCGCGAGTACTGGGCTCGACATACTCGACCGGGGATTGTTCGTACGAATGGCTCGGAACTTCTCGACATTCTCGGGACTTTCGCTCGACTTCCTTATCATACTCGGAAAACATCTGAAAATGCAACAATAACACGGACAAGTACGCTAAAATATAAAATAAAACAAAAAACACGAAAACACACGGAAAACGACAAAATGGACCGGATGACACAAAAGCGAACCTAAAAATGACTCGATAACACATATAAACACATGAAAATACGCACAAAAACATAACAAACAATCCCCCGTAAGAAACAACCACCGCGTCCGGCCTTTTATATGGGTAGCAGTTCGAAGGCCCCTAAACCGAAGCAATCCATACATAGTCAAACCGGGTCCAATGATGGCTCCATGAACCAGGCCAGAAACGACAACTTCTCTCACGATGCACGTGAACCGGAAGAAAATTCTACATCCACTGCATGTTCTGTCACTCCTATGGATTACACGCATTATTGGCCATGGAATTAGCCTCGTCACTGCATCCTCTCCTTCTATGTTTGTTCTTGTTTCAGTGGTGTCTCAGTATGTTAGTTATGGTTGGTTGTTTGTTTAATTTTTATTTACTATTATGTTTGTTATTAACTATTATGTTTGTTGTATGGTTACTGCATGTTTCTGTTGCATGTTCTGTAGTTGTTCCACCGCGTCTGTTATTATGACCTATGCGTAGCATCTTTAAGGCATAGGCAGTTGTGTTTGTATTATGTAGTATGCAAGGTATGTATTAGACATGGTCTTCTGTATGGTTATGAAGGATATGGAGGCGTAATCTACGTTTCTTGATTTATGTACCATATATGGTTTACGTACCATGTTCAATTATATACATGTTATGTAAGAATGAAAAATATGTCATTATAGCCATATTATAGGAGTTACCAGTTAAAACACAAATAAGCCATAAAAAAATGTCTTAATAAACCTAGAATTATGCTAACACCCACGTCTTACATCATTTCACACCAAATACCAATATTCAATACAGAAAAGTGTTCAAAATTTTGCCATTCAAATACATGCTGCACACAAATTTTGACCACTCTAAACCAAGGATACCTAAACGAAATCAATGTAAATACCCACTCTGAATCCTCCTCAACGTCATTTTCTTCAAAGAAATAGCGCATATCGCCATCTTTCAGCCGCCTCTTACCATGAGATCGATCTATATGCATCGAATATGTATCCCCCTTGAACATAAGCACTGCACGGTCTATCTCTGGAACCTGTCCTTCAATATGTGCATTCCAAAATTGCATTGGTATGAGCTTTACAACAACAAAAAATTAAAAATAATATTAAACAAGATAACATTTTATTAATTATGCAACAACAATGTTGACGAAAAGTGTAATTGTAAAATATGAAAGCATTCACTTACCAAAAGAGCACGCTCAACGTGAGTTTTTTTTTTATTTTGATGCTAAACCGGTCCTGTGGAGGCCTCTCTATATCATTACAAGTTTAGACCTTGACAATTGAACGTTCTGAATTCTTCCCGTTCAAAATACAAGTAGTACCCCTGACGTATATCTTCTGATTGAACGTAAGGTTGCCACCCATTTGCAAAATGCAAACTAACCCTTGGGTCGTAGACATTTGGACCTCGAATTTTGCAGATGTCCATTGGGTAGCAACGACTTTCGACAGTTACAAGAGTAATTGGAAAAGGCATAACGTGTCTCCCAAAGTAACATTCCGCTTCCTCAATGCCCTACGAAAGTTCATACTTGATCTTGTCATTAATTTTTTTTATGTTTTGAAGTTTTTTTTCCTACAGTTTGTCCGCTTGTTTTTTTCCCTTTGTTTTTTTCAGGCTTGAAGTTTTTTTCTTTCGCGTGTCATCTTGTCATTAGTTTTTTTTCAGGTTATGAAGTTGAACTTACCATGATGGGGTAGTCTGGCATGTCCATATATACGTAGAAACACCCCCATGGCGGGCTTTCATTGTGCGTAGCCATAGTGACCCTGCAAGAGCGATATAGCATAAAGAAAAATAAAGAAAATAACAATTTAAAGAAAATAAATAAAATAAATAAGTTGAACAAAACCAAAAAAAAAAAAATCTAACAATACATGGTCACCATTCTAATAAAAAAATAACAGTTCATTGGTCATGTCCCAAAAACCACAAACACTTTCATAAATCCCAACCACACCGGATAAGGACAACAAAACTGCAAACACATTCATAAATCCCAACAAAACCACAAAACACATGTCGCAACAACCACAAAACCACAAAACCAAAAATAACAGTTCACATCGTTCACAAGAAAAGGACTACATAACGAGACACAACGATTTCCCATTAGCAACACTACCTCCGACCATCGCGGATGACCCTCACCATGAGTGCCCTATCCTCTTCCCCCATGCCCAAAAACATAGCAAGATCCCTCACATTGTTGCATAAACGCAGGCATATCACCATTCACTCCTCACCGGATAGAAAGTTGAAAGTCCGGAGAGCATCCATTACTTCACCCATTTGAGCCTGCGTCGCCTGAGCCTGTGCCACTTGCTCATTGCCCAGTCTGGCACTAATTTCGGCCAACCGGCCATCCGTGTTCAGCGAGAAAGTCTCCATGACATCGATGAAACGATCGTCCACCAAGTGTGCGGACCTTCTTTTTGTGCCCCTCGTCTTCCCCCCTCTCTTGGAATTACTTTCAGATGTCGTACCCGACGACTGACTGGCATCATTGCCCGGGCCATGGGTAGGTTGCGTGGTCTGCGAAGGGATCTCATCGTATTCTTCGTACGGCGGGTCTTGCTGTACATCCTGCGCCGCGTCTGCGAAAGACTGGGCATCACCACCACATGCCCTGTCTTTCCCGAAGATGACCTCCCAATCATCGAAGTGGGGGAAAGACTTGTTCCTCAGTCCCTTCGCATTAGGATCAACCTATTGGCGATAGGTTGGGACGCAAAAAAAAGAATGTAATGAGAATATGTAAATTATGTGAAATATATAGACGACTCAAAGTTGGAATTTTAAGCAAACCTTCATCAACGATTGGTACTTATCATCATCATAAGAGAAGCTTTTTGAAACATCATTCCATCCCAAACCCGATTTATTTGCTTTGATATTGGCCAAACTCGCATATGTTTTCTTCCAAACATGCATTTTGGAAGTTATGTGCGGGTCAGCACGAATTTCACATCCGGGAAGATATGTCTTCATCTTTTTTTCCAACTGAAATGCATAGCCAGTTCTGAAGCCGTTTTTCGTTTTCCACCCCTCGGTTACAATATCCTCTAGAGCATTAACTAGGGCATTCTCTTCAGTCGATGTCCACACACGGTGTTTAGAGGTTGCGCCGCCCTCTTTTTCGGTACCCGATGTCATTGATGGTTCCATGACAATTTTGCTGTAGGAACAATAATGTTGTAGCAATATTTTTTATTATTGTTATTTTGGGTTAATAGAGAATTTCCAAATAAAAGTATCTAAAAAAATGTCGTCAAACAAAATGATATACTACACAAGAAAATATACAGGAAGTACACAAAAACAACATTATTTAATGTCAATAATCACCATAACAACATATTCAACAACATTAATATTGTATAATAAACAACAAAAGATAATTTAAAAACATTTGTCACCCATACTTAGTAACTAACAGAGTCTTATGAAAGTACACAAAGATAAGTTTGTTTATCTATTAGGGAACACTGCCCTGCCATTCTGTGAACATTTGTTGGGCTAGGAGATCGCGCTTCTGGGTCCATTTGGGACTACTTTCAACTTGATCTATGTAGTCGTCGTTAGACGGTGGGTTGGAAGGTATCGGGAATTCTGGAATCTCGTTCTCAATGGGGTCTTCGGGCATTGTTCTACGTATAAAATTATGAATAAGCGCACATGCCATGATAATGCGATTTTGGGTCCTAATGAGGTAAAAAGAGTTACTCCTAAGAATTTCCCAACGCATTTTTAGAACGCCAAAAGCATGTTCAATCGCGTTCCTAGCTTTGGCATGCCGAAGGTTGTAGAGTTCTCTAAAGTTTTGTGGAGTACGGGACCCTGTACCCCATTCATCTAAGTGATATCTGACACCCCTATATGGCGATAGAAAGCCAGAACCATTAGTGTAACCATCATCCACCAAATAATATTGTCCTGCATTATAAACGATTGTGTTATGTTTGATTTAGTGTCTTACGGGTGGGTGTTGTTTACACTATTTATTATATACTAAAAAAGTGAGGGAATACCGTTTGGGACTCGAAGAGAATTTGCCCTAGTGATTGCATCTCTTAGTACTCGATTATCAGCAGACCCCTCCCATCCACAAAGCATGTAGACGAAGTTCATATTTCTATCGCACACCCCAAGTACATTAACTGATACTTGACCCTTTCGATTCCTATATCTTCCTCTATCTTTCGATGGGACTCGGACGTTAATGTATGTACCATCTAGTGCTCCTAGACACCCCTATGAAAAAAAAAATTATAGTATTAGTTTTGGAAGGAGTAGATAAGAAAAAATTGACTAAGGGTTGGTAAGGGTCTTGTGTTGTAGGCTACCTTGAACCATTTCCACCGTGCATCTGAACAATCATCCTCAACTGGCTTAGGTGTGGCGACTAGGACGGTGTGAAGGTGGATTACCGCATCAAGTACACGGTTAAAGTACTTGCTTACGGTTCTACATGATCTCGTAAAGTCAAACTTCAAGGTGACCTTCTTCTTGTGATGTGCGAGGATTGAAAGAAACATGGCAACTTGTTCACTCAGAGCAACGTTTCTAGATTGAACAAGACCCCCTAAATTTTCAATGAGGAAACAAAGGCGACCAAAACAGTTTCTGTCCATACGGAGGTTCTCAAGGAAAGTGGTGTCGCTGACGTCGACTAGCCTTTGCATATGACTCACCTGAAGGGGCACTCTATCCCTCAATCGGTATGTGAGTCCGCTAGTCAACGAAG